GCTGATTTACATTGATAGTTGATTAACAGGCTTTTGCTGAACTGCAATCATCAGAATCAGCTGTTCTAAAGCAGATAAATCTCTAAAACCTGCAGGACAGCGGCCCTCGAGGACCGACTTTAGGGCTGCCTGGGGGGCCAGAGCCAATCTGTTAGATCTTTGACAAGAACATAAACGGAAGCTTTTTTATCAGGTTTCTTCCGAGGAGTACCGAGTGGGAAAGGTGTTGCTTTGTGAGTGAGGTTCTTCACAGGTCAGCTTTAGCTACAGACTCTCTGAGGAAAGCCTTTTAGCTGCATTCTGGGTATTAAACCTAAATTCACAACAGCTACAGCATCTTTAAACCACAAACTTTAGAAAAGAGGAACCTTTTGGTTGACTGACGATAAGAAGACATTTGATCTTGGTATGTTTGTTCGTGTGAAACCACATTTAAACCACAGCGGAGAGGGAGGGGGAGGAGGTGGTGACTCAGGGTTGGTTAGGACGGAATTAAAGGGTTAAATAAAGTATTTGTAATAGAATAAAGCCGAATGGAAAAACAGGCTGCAGAGCCAATTACTGAACCAGCTAGGTCAACGTGGTGACTCACTGCCCTCAGATAGTCACTGAATAGTAAACGGGGAGCAGAAAGCGACATTAATAGACCGCAGCTGGTCCATGCAAAAGCATTAGCTCTTTATGGGTCGCACATAAATGATCTAGTTGGTTTAGTTCTATTCAATGATGCCAGATATATCCAGGAAACTAAAAGAAAAAGAAACTTGTTCTAACCAAAAAGTTCCTCACGTGTTTGGTTGTTACAGGAGTTGAAAAATATTCCTCAAACAACATCTTAAAACAAGAAATATTGAACTTATTACCTAATAAAAAAAAAAAATCTGGATGGAGCTGAAGTGTTTTCCGCTGCATTGGATCAGAACGAGCAGTTTTTTCTGTGTGAGCAGACTGCTGAGGCGATGGATCTTCCCGCTAACCGCTTCCACAGTGATGCAGACGGAAAACATCTCTGGTTTAGGTTCCCGTCAGGATGCCCACAGGATCAATGTGCAGTCAGGACACTCTCCAAGATGGGAACATTTAAGAAAAAAAACAGCTTAAAGGCCACTCTGCTGGGGCATTTGAAGCTCCTAATTGGTGTGAAGCTGCCAGGATACATCTAACACGCTTCAGATGTTTTCAGTCCTCATGGTCGTCTGAGATGTCAACCATGTTCTTCCACTTAACTAACCAAATTAGCCCCAGAAAGTTTAACTACCAATGGCGTGAAAGATGCTGCAGCTGAAGGAGCTCGCAGAACTAATCCAGAGTCTGTAGGTGAAGTGGTGAGAGGCTCTAAATGGTGTTAAATTTTGAGGTGTTGGATCATGATACGCTAAACATGTTTGTCGAACAAACAAACCTGCTGGAGGGTGAACTATGCAAAAAGTTTTTTTTTAAAGTTGCATAACCACAGATACTTTGGTAATGTGCCCTTTGTTGAAACTATAGCATTCACAGGGTTTATATAAGAATTAGGAAACTGTAATTTCATGTCTTTTAATACTGTTTAATACTTTTAGAAATAATTTTAATGCCATTAACAAGTAGCCATGGCTCTCATATACAATATATATTTAAATATATATATATCTATAAACAAAACATAGCAAAATCCTTTGTCATTTCTACCGTTGACAGACTACAGCCGATTCCCAAATTTCTAATTTTCCAGCCACTTTTGTTGAAATCAGCATTTTCCCATTCTCTTGCTTTTTCTCCACCTTGAGCTTCTTTACCTACGGAGCCCCTCTGATGACATGGTCAAAAAAAAATGTTTAATTGTGGCCATGAAGTAGTATTTCGCGGCCACACAATAAGTATAACGTGCGCACGAAATACTATTTCGTGGCCACGCAATAAGTTTAACGTGCGCACGAAATACTATTTCGTGGCCACGCAATAAGTTTAACGTGCGCACGAAATACTATTTCGTGGCCACGCAATAAGTTTAACGTGCAAACAAAATACTTATTAATAATATCAATAAATCCGCCCCTGTTTTCAGGTTTATGTTAACTGTAATGACTTATCTTGGACAGGCTGCTATGTAAACGGGCCTTTAGTCCTTCGTTTAGCTATGCTGCGGTTGTTTACACTACGCCTTTTCCACCTAAAATAGCGTCTTAGCAACAAATGTCACGTGACTGGCGGAGACCGACTGGGTAAGCAAATCGAGCGCGCCTTAGACCTTAGAGAAGGCGCGCCCGATTTGCTTACCCAGTTGTCCGGGAATGATATTATTATTAATAAGTATTTCGTGCGCACGTTAAACTTATTGCGTGGCCACGAAGTAGTATTTCGTGCGCACGAAATACTACTTCGTGGCCACAATTAAAATTTTTTTTTGACCATGTCATCAGAGGGGCTCCGTATTTACCAAACATACAGCTTTACAATAAAACATCGCGATATAACATATCTGACAAAATCTTTTTATACGTTTTTTTTTTTTTTTAATGCCACAATAATCACATTGAATGAATTTTAATGCCAATTAAGACCTTAATTCAAAAATTTTAATTTAATGACTTTTAATGACCCACGGAACCCCAGATTCAGCCACTTTGGACTTGAGTCTCTACATATGAGGTTCTGTTGAAGTTCTGGACTCTGGCCGGGCTGGTCCAGACCTAGTTTCTCCTGGTGAAAACAATCCCTGGCTGATGTGGATGAGTAGCCACCTACTGTAGAAGTTACTGAAACCGACTGGTTTCTGAATCCCACAGCATAGTGCTGCCACCACCATGTTCAGCTGTAGATTTGGTTTCACCAACCATGTTCTCCCAAAAGGATTTAGACCTTACCGTTTAAATAAAAGCATTTTCAAACCGTAGCACTGTGTGTGTTCTAGGGCTGGGTAATTTCACCATAGTCCTGAATCGATTAGATTTTGATTAACACAGTTCTAAATCGATTAATTTCGATCTGTTTTTACAACAATGACTCATGTATTTTATTTTTTCCTGTCATATTAAACACAAAGTGCAAACTTGTAAATCGGACAGTTTAAACATGCGATGTGAACAAAACTGTCTCAAAAGTGCAAACTTGTTTGTGAAAAGCGATAAAGTGAAGCCTCACTCAAGCAAGACGACATGCATGAGCTGCATTATCTTCACTGCACAAACCACATGTGCAGCGTCGTCGGTAACAACTACAGGGCGTTTTCTGGTCAGCTCCCATTTTTTAAGGTCTTCAATCAACCTATTGGCGATATTTGCAGCTGTCTGGCTTGAAGTCATGTTGAGTGCATCTTTCCTGCCCATTTGAATGTGAACGTCACGCAAGTCACTATAAAATGAATCGATCTCATTCCCTAGACATCGATTTTGCAAATATTTAAAGGAATCAATTCAAAATTGATGAAATCGATTTTTTTTTAACTCAGCCCTAGTGTGTTCAGTGTTTAAAAGTAGCTGATTAAGTTAATTAAGCAAAAAATTCAAATTACACAAAGCTGTTATTTTCCCACTTAATGAGTGAACATGTAAGAGTATTACATAAATACACTATAAAAAGCAGATTTTAAGTATATTTAAAACCACAAAACAGGTTTAAATGGAGGCAACAGGAATGCCATGTGAGGCATATTTTTTATGTTTTATCTAAATGTGCTTTTATTCTGACAAACATGGATTAGAATTATAAATACATAGAATGAATTTAATGCACCTCAGATGTTTTTTCATAACTATGGGGTTTTAGTATCGTTCTTCTTTGCAAATGTTGGATTTTAAGGTTAAATATTTACATGATCTACATAATTATAAGTTCATTTATAAAGTTTCTGCAGTGTATTGCGTGCATCACCCTCTGTTGTAGATCCTGTTTCATGCTTTAGATGAATTATCCTGAGAGAAAGTTTACAATAAGGCTCCTGATTTAGAAATAACTGGAACAGGTTTTAGTTTTTTTTTTTTTTCTTTTAAAAGAATGCAGAAATACTGTATTAGTCCAAAACAATTCAGCTTTATATATATATATAAAAAAATAATAAAATAAACCACTAAAAAAAGAATGCATTTAAAAGTCTTTTTATTCATCATTTTCTTCTTCAAAACACACTTTCCTGGTGTAATTTTTACATTTTCCATTTCAAAAAGGAAAACTCAATTGAGGTAAAAGTGCTGAAAAATGAAATAGTACCATCATAGCCATCATCACGATCACAAGGCTGACAGAAATGCTTCTTTATTTTTACTATCTCCCAAAAAATACAGAAAAAGTGTGACAAATTTCCCCCTTTTTCCAGCTGTTCTCACCGAACCCACCTTCCGCATTACATTTAGGTAAACACAGGTCTGCTGGAAAAATAATTCACAACTTTTTAATAAAGAAACTGTAGCAGAGCTTCTACACCCCCCCCCCCCCCCCCCCCCAAAAAAAAAAAAAAAAAAAAATCACATTCTTATGGTGACACCCGCACAAACATTAGGCTCTGTGCGTCTCCTGAAAACATCTACAGGTGTTAAGAGGAAACACTCTGTACTGATAGACCACAGCCCAAACAAGGAGGGGGGGTTCGATGTGAAAGGGTTACAGCAGGAAGGTGGGGGCCAAAACAACTGAAAATAAATAAAAATCAGCAGATGCCATCCGATTCTCGTCTTCCTTCTCAAAGTGTTTTAAACACCATCAGCAGCCCTGCTTCAGACATGAACCGTAAACACATGAGAGCAGGCTGGGAACTAACAACCAAAGCACACGATGGACGTTTGTCATCGACCCTAAAATGCGTTAGGAGTTACAATGCCGGAGAAAGTGGCACAAATGGTTATTCACAGAATATACGCAGACAGAGGAGAGATTTCATTCCAGCTCAGAAGTTCATCTGGCTTTTAAGGCCAAAGATGTTAAATCTGAGGGAGGAAGGCGCAGATCATCCTCTAAAACTGTGCTCTCCCACTGATGGGGTCTCCACACACTACATTACGCCGTGTTTACCTCAGGTATTGCTGTTTTTTTTTTTGCATTTTTTAATCTTTTTTTGGATAAAGGCTGAACAATCAGAAACAAAAAACCCAACAAAAACTCTTAGCTCCCCAGGAGGCGCTTCGATGGAAGACCGGCGGTTAAACTGAGCTTTAAAATGCGAAACCTTTCCTCTGCAAATCAAATCCTGTCATTTAAAGCATCAGATTCCAACTGGGCAGAACAAAGACGGAAAAAACGAACGTCTGAAAGGCCCGACAGGAACGACTGCACACGAAGCTTTGAGACTGAAAATTAAGAAAGCAAAACACAAACAAACGTCTAAGCCATAATTATTCTCAATCCCAAACTGGACAAAAAAAGTATGAAATGATTAATCTAGAACAGCAATGACAGTCTTCTAAAGTTTAACTGGGTGTTTTTAAGAAACAAACTGACTCTCCTGATCAAAGTTAAAACCCCTTTAAAAATATTCAGCTCTCCAAAACAAAAAGGCACTTTGTTGCTTGAGTTGCTGGTTGTTAAGCTGCTTGTGGCTCAGAGCTGACAGCAGGGAGAAAGAAAGAAAAGAAGTGCTGAACACATCAGGACCCGACCTCCCGACCTGCAGGCCATGCCAAGCTCTTCCTTCCTTGACAACCCTTAGCAGCGCCGCGCCGCGAGCCGTCCTGATAAGGTAATCTAGCCGCGCCAGGAACTACGCTTCCAAGAAACTATCGGGAGATGGGAGTGGCCATTTACTCAAGTTTAACTCTAATCTCCTCTGTGGTGATCAGGCTGCAATATCAGGAAGACAAGAGAGGAGATGACTGGCTAAAATCTTCACAGCCTCAGCATTCAGAGCGTCTAACGGTGACGGCTAATAATAGGATTTACTGGAAATAGAAATTTGGACATTTACAGCTGGTTTCATTAATCAATATGCAAGTCTGAGAGGAGAGACGTCCCGTCTGCCCTCCCATGACCACAAAAGGGGTTCAAATGCTGCAAGATGCCAACAGGCACCTGATGAAGGACAGGAAGTGACTCAGCAACACATGTAAGGCAGCCGAGCTGAGGGAGGGAGGATAATAATAGACGGCCGGCGGCTCCAGGGTCGGTTAGCGGGGCTGCGTCAGTGGAGGATCCCTTTTCAGTGACGACCCTGCAGGTCTCTCCATGTGCTGCTCCTTTTAAGGTAGGAGCAGCCAGTAAGGATCCCTGCTGGGCACATTCCCTCCACAGGCTGCCATCCAACCCAAATCAGACCTCCGCAGGTCACTTCGTCTGAACGCAACTTAAAAACAGAGGAGGAAGGGACGATCAGAAACAGAGCGTGGCTCAAAGCCAGAACTCTGGGTACCCTGAAGTTCACAGTGAAAATTTTAAAATAAAGGTTTGCATTTTTTTTTTTTTTTTTTTTACAAATATCAGGCACTGCTGGCAGGTATGGAGCTGATCATGAACTACAACCAATGATCCAAGCTTCACATACACCGAGCACATAGCCCCCCCACCCACACATTCTTTTTTTTTTTTTTTTTTAAACAAGGAACCCAAACTGAAGGCTACAGCATTTAATTTTCCATTTTCTTCTAACAACAATCCGTACTCATAACTCTGGAGGGGTGAACCTGACAGCTAGAGGTTAAGGCACAAACGTCTCCACTAAGATTAAAGGTATACACCCAGAAAGATTGAAAAATAACACTTAAAAACGTTAACACCTCTGCAGAAAAGGAATGAGAAAGAATGCAAAAAAAAAAAAAAAAAAAAAAAAAAAAAAAAAAACTTGTCCACTGAAAATGTGCCTTAAGAGAAACGTCGCATTTATTGCCACTGTGGTTTTTTTTTCTGACATTTTTTCCCCTCTTTTAATATTTTTTTCTGAATCTTTTTTTTCTCAAATCAGTTCCTTCCCTCTTGAAAAGCAGTAGCTGCGGTCGAGTCGTCCAGTGACCCGTTTGTCTCGTCAGTTACACGGCAGCCATGTTGGAATGTTCTGGTTGGCCACGTAGTAGTTGCTGAAGTTATGGTCTCTGATGTACGGCGCCGGCTGGTAGTAGCAGGTGACGCAGGAAGCGTCTGGGATGGCGCTCTGCTCTGCCAGCACCCTGAAGGCCATTAGCGAGAGGAGGTGGAGGGTCTGCCGCCGCTCGTGGCCCATGAGGCACACGGTGCTCTCGTTAACGACCTTCCGTAGGATCTGGAGGTAGTCATACTTGCTCTTCTCCTCGCCGATGAAGTGGCTCATCAGGTAAGCCTCCACTTTGCGCTGCTGCTCTCCAATGTCGGGGAAGTCTATGAAGAAGCGGGAGCACATGTACCTCTCCAGGGCCTTGAACTCCTCCTGATTGGCCGGCTGAAAGTCCCGCACCAGCAGGTTGCAATACTTAAGCAGCCCGCCACCACGGATCTCCTCTGGTCTCTTTGTGGCGATGAGCTTGCCGCGCAGGTGGCCGAGCGCGGCGTTGAAGTCTCCGTACATGCTCTCCCCTCTGACGGCAGGGTGAAAGGCCTCAGACATGTCCGGCTGCGTCTGCTCGTAGTGGGAGAGGATGGAGTCCAGCACAATCTGAAAGGAGTCCACGCTGAACTCGAACTGTCGGCGTATCGAGTCGACGAACTTCAGCTCCACGTTGCGGCCGTTGTTGTTTGACAGCGAGATGAGGCTCCAGCGGTCCTGCTCCGTGTTGACCTTCACCAGCTTCTGGACGTACACGTCCTTCAGAGTCATGGGAGTGATTTTCTCCTTGTTCACGCCCTCCGGCAGAAAGTCCAGCAGGATTCCCAAAACAACATCCTTAACCAGCCTGAACTCCGCCTCGGTGGGGAGGTCCACCCTGAAGATGAAATCCAGGTCTTTGTAGCTCCAGCCGATGTCCTGCACCAGGACGTGGCTGGCGGTGGAGCCGTTGAGACGGATGTCCTTCACTCGGATGCCACTCAGCTCCAGGTGAGTCCGCACCCGTGCCACTATGTCTTTCAGCTGCACCTCTAGGGTGGGGAAGTTCCCTCGTCCGTGAACGGGAACGACCTCTGTGAGGACTTCATTCAGCCGGCTCACCTGCTCCCAGGTAAGGTCGCTGACGGAGCTGCAGATGGATTCCTCCTTGTTTTCCATCCTCACAAAAGCTTCAAATCACCTGGGATCAAGAAACAAACCAAACACAAATGTCAAAGCAAGGAAATTAAATTAAACCCAGGGTGAAAGTTCAAACAGAATTCAGCCCAACGCAATTTAAACTAAATATAAAAACATTTAGTTTGGACAAAAAAAAGGGGCAGCTGCCCCTTTAAGATTGACCAACTTTACCCATCTGAGCCAGCCTTTCTAAAGAAATGTTTTTCTTTTTTTTTTTTTTTAAAAAAAAGGGGGGGGGGGGGGGGGGGGGGGGTTATTAAAACCAGACATTCAAAGCCCATTATATCCATTTCTATGGCCTGGATCCCTGCAGAGTTCTCCATTTTCAAAATAAGCCTCTGCTTTGTTTGTTGACAGCCAGCATCAATTGTACCTCAACAAACAATCAGTTGACTTTTGCTTGATGCTCTTATGGATTTCCTTTGAAGCCTCAACTCCTGATCAGGATTTTTATTGATAATCTGAAGGATTAAAATACTACCAGAAACATAATGAGCATCAAAATGAATGCCGCTTTAGCAAATCAGTGCAAATGTATTCCAAGACATAATTTATACATTAAAAACTGAAAATAAAGCGACAAATTTAAACCTTCTCAGTGAAATACACATTATATGAATCATATGATGAATGATTTTGGGCTGGTCTCCCCTTTTGTTTATTTTTGGATCTCAGGCTGTTCTTGTTGGATGTCGGTGGTTTGTTTTATTGTGGCAGCAACTGTTTGATTACATCCAACAGCAAAGTTTATTGTTTGGTTCATTCGCTATGAACTGCTGTCTAACGCATGATTCATTGTTATCTTGACAGATGGTTGGCATTACGTTAAAACAAGAACACTTCTGGAACATGACACATCAGTTTTCTGAAGTTTGAGCCTTGAAGTTTACAGTTCTGTTTTTCCATATTTAGATACAATCCTGAAACAGAGTTTAAAACCCTTTATAGAGCAAGTTAGGGTTTTTGATCCCCTTTAGAAATGGAGGCCCCCCTCCTGTCCCTCAGTGAGATCTAGAAGCACAAGATCTATATCCAGCCATATAGCAAGCACAATGCTACATGACTGTACATCTTATTTTGTCCTTTAACCAATTAGATGAGCCCTTAAATGATATATTAACTACAGTAAATTAAGTTGGGGAAAAAAAGTTAAGTCAAGAAAAAAAAAAAGGTAAAAAAACTAATTAAAATTTAAAAAGTTAATAGTCCTAGTTAGCAATTATATTTAGGTTTTTAAATTAAAGATGTAAGTGCCAGTATCAGCATTAATGCCTCTAAGATTATGTTGTACCAAATAAAAATGTGTTTCTTTCACTCTCAGTGTTTTTCAGGACTTTCTTATAGAGGCCCTTTTATTTTTCTTAACATATTTGTGCAAGTTGGCGTTTGTTATTACATTGACATTCATTTTTGCCATTAAAATATCCATATCTTTTTAATGTTACAAAGGTAATAAGGTCTCCTCCTGGATCAAAATAACAGTATTGGCTTGAAATTTGTGAAAGTATTTCACCGAGTATGGAGCACCAGCTCTGCCATATTATTAAAAAAAATAAACACCCCCTCCTCCTTTGCATAATGAGTCAGAAATGCAGACAGAAATGTAAAAAACGACTGCCAGAAATAAATAACATGGAATATAGGGTTAAAAAAAATACAAAGGAAGAATAAAACAGACGAAAATATTATATCATGCACACAAATACTTAAAAGTAATAAATTAAGTTGAAGAATATAACATACAATAAATAAATGAGGTAATTATAACAAAGGCAAATAAATAAAAAAGCTAATTAAAAGAGATTCATACATTTATATCTCACTGTATAATTTTATTTCTACCTACATGCATTTGTTGATTATATTTTTGGGGGCAATTAATGGTATGCTTATCTATTTATTGAGCATTTATTTATTTTTAATTGTGGCAGAGTTGGTCCTCCGTAACTGAGTGCCCTCTAAAGGATTAAAAGGTTGGTATGTTTTAGAAAACATGTCATGCTTGGCAGCAGTCAGCGCTGTTATCACTAATCTCACCAGAAAAAGCTGCTCGGAAGTTTTAAAACAAAACACCAAACCGAGGCGAGGTCAGTCAGCACGAGCGGGTTAGAATGTGCGCGCGAGGCGAGCAGCTCGTGCTCTCAGCAGCCGTGAGCCTTCTAGAACAGCTCCACGCGCGCGCCTGGCTTTCATTCCACAGACAAACAGCATCAAACCACCAGCTGAACACCGCTTAGAATCACTCTAACGCGTCCAGCGAAGACATTTGATACGTTTAACAACGCCACTGGTGACGGTTTTTAATAAAGTCAACTCAAAAGTGCAAACGCCAAAAAGTCCGATAACTTTCAGAGCTTTGAAGTTAGCAGTAAAGTCACGTTTGCTGGTGATCCCATCCATATGGCAAAGAGTTTCAAGCTGTTGAGCAAGTTTGAAAAGTTTCGAGCAAAACAGGATAAAACTCCTTAATCGATATCCAACTTGTGTCACGTTTTAGAATTACGCAGTCGGATAGGGAGAGTTTTAATAAAATGACACAAAATTACGTAGGACTTTCTGAGTGAGGGTGGCTCGCATTTACGCAGGAATAAAGTATTTAAAAAGATAAGCAGTACATACGTTACCAAAGGAGATCACTGGAAGCATTCAAAATCCGAAAGAGATGATGACTTCGTGCACACGGCTCCACATAATAACCCCACGGTGAAAGCCAGCGTTTAAACCACAACCTCCGCTCCTGACACGCCTGTTTTATAAAGCCGAACTACTGCCTGCTGAAATAAATGCGCCGCTCTCCGACGCAGCCCCTTTTGCTACGTAGACGCCAACTGCTAACTACAAACACAGCTATGAACCGCACACAGTTGTATAATTAGTATAATTAATATATTTACCTAGTAATCCAAACAGGTATCCTCTAAAGCTCACATCTGATGTTTGAGTTGTTGAGTTCTAATGTACCAATGCGCCAAACGCAGCGTCTGATTGGTCAAAGATGTTTTGCGTTGCCAGGATACCGGACGGGTCTACAGGCAGCCGGAGTCCGTGACGTTTACCGTCACGTGACGCAACTCAAAGGGCAGCGGAAGGTTCCGGCAGATTTCCTCACTGCTCTGTGTTGTCTGACCATTTGCCCTGTGCTGCTTTGGTCACTATACTGCTTTCTGTTTAAAAATATTGAAATCATGCAGGTATTTTTGTAATTTTATCATAAGAATGTTGCTTCTTAGAGCAAATTAACCTCCAATATTCAGTTAAAGTTTAAGGCTTGATATTCAAACATATGAACTCAGTACATCAGGAACTCATTAAATATAAACTTTGCTTTTATTTATTTTAAAATCTGTATTTGCAACTGTGGGAAATGTTGTAATTCAAACAAGTATTTTTATTTTATTTTATTTTTTTATTTATTTATTTTTTTTATTTATTTATTTTTATATTTTATAGCGTATTTTTGTTATGGCAAAACAGTTAGACAAGAGCATCAGCACCAGATGAAAAATTTAACCTTTCTGTAAAATAAGCCTTGTACAAGTTGCTATTGCTTTTTATATCCCCCTTATATTTGTACCAAGTAACTTGTTTTCCCACACAACTTTAGTGTTTGCATAACTAACCATCTGCTTTTGCATTTAACACATACCATGAATTTAGTTTTGTTTAAATTCTAAGTTATTTCTTAATTAACTGCTTTTCTACATATATCTAGAAGTTTTCCCCTAACCAAAAATGCTAGAATTGTGTGAAAACAGCACTTACAGCATAGTATTTAAAATTGCAAATAGAATTTATATGAAAAATTATCAGCTTAGGACTGAAAATCAAGAAACCTCCAACCTTGAGGACTTATGTTGTCAGGGGATGTACCAACAGCAAAGTTTTATAACCAGAGGAACCGAGAAATTCATTCTAGCTTAAACTGATTGTCCTAATTCTTTTTGTTAGTATTTATTTAATTCTTAGATAATCAGTTTTTCACATTCAAATATTAGATGAGTATTTATATGAGAGATTGAAGTAAAGTTACATTGTTAACATTATGAATTGCTGATATTTATCTATGTTTTGCCAGTTCAGCCCCAATGGAATCTAAAAACAGTCTGGAGCATCAAGCTCCAAACATGTTTCCGAAGTTTCTATTTTGCAAAAATTACAAACATTGCTCCAAAGACTTTACTAGATGTGTAAAACTGTAAAGAAACACTTAGAATTTATAACAAATGTTTTCCTTAAAAATCATTTTACTAAAAACATATTTAACCAGTTAATCCAAGCAAATATCTCTTCAAATACTTTTTGTTTTTAATATTTATTTTATTTTGTTTAATTAACATAAGTGCCCACAAAAATATCCGAGGCAGATTTTAAGAAATAAAACATTTAGACGTTACAAACGTATGTTTTTTTTTTTTATTAGCTATTCATGGAAACCTAGAGATAGAGGATATTACTTAACAGAGGAATATTCTGCTGAAGAGCTGGGAAAAAAAGAAAGCTGTGGGGGATACTCTGCAACTTCCAAGGAAGACATCTTGTTTCATTCAGGCACTTTCTTGAAACACTGAAAAGAAGAAAAAAAAAACATGACTTGGCTGCTAGCAGGATTCACTTTTGAAACAGATTACGTTCTAGCTAACAAATATAAACAACTAAAATGACCTATAACAGTCTGAATGCCTACTACTTTAACAGACACTACCTGTATAAAACTCAATGAAACATGACATTGAATGCTGTTTAAATGCACACATCAATCTGTGAGGATTTCAGAAGAAACTGGCCTCCCTCAGGATGCAGTGATGGGAAAACCAGGAAGCTGAAACAGAAAAGTGAGAAGGGGAAAGCAAAAGGTGTGTTGTGGTTGTGTGCTGTGGGGAGCCCCTTGAGGGGTGACTTATACATCCTTTCATTGTATTGACAGCAGAAAACTGATCAGGAAGGGGAACCCCACTCTCTCTATAGACTCACTGAAAACTGTTCACTCAAGCATTTCCACAGAAAAGACACAAAACTAATGCACTGAAATAATCAAAACCTAAACAGTAGCATCAATCCAACTTGTTCATTCCCTATTTGAACAAAGTCAGACTTTAAAGAGTCTTAATATGAGAGGGAGTTAATGTTGACTTTAGTTTGTTGAGTTTCAACAGAGACTGCTTTAAGGTTCTTGGGAAATCTCCTCAGCATGATTTAGGGAGATTGCAGGTTAATACATGACTAATTGACAGAGAAGTATAACGTGTTTACAGTTCAGCCCTGTCCCAACTCATTTTTACATCTCCATCCATCTACCCAGATAGATGGATTTATAATTTTTAAATAGAGAGAATTAGATGGGAGCAAACATAAAACCTTGAGGGACACCATAAATAAATAGTTCAGATGTGCATGTATCTTATTTTTTCTTCACATAAAAATCTGTTACAATAATAATTTTAAAAACCAATTCCATTTAATTTCTGTGAATCCTATGTAAACATATATTTTCAAGAGAGGTTTATGTTTCACTGACTGAAAAACACACAAAATCAAAACAAAAATTGCTAGTAACATTTTCTAATTAAATTCAATTCAGTTTATTTCTATAGTATATTCACAACACATGTCATCTCAAGGCACTTTACAATTCAACCAGATCATTCAGTCAAACTGATTCAAAGTTTTCTATCTAAGGAAAACCAGTTGATTGCACCGACTCATTGACTTGAATGCAAACCCTCACGCTAAGCATGCTTGTAGCGACAGTGGAGAGGAAAAACTCCCTTTTAACAGAAAGAAACCTCCAGCAGAACCAGGCTCAGTGTGAGCGGGCATCTGCCGAGGCCGACTGGGGTTCAAGGAGACAGAAGCAGAGATATTCTATCTCTGCTTCTGTATCGCTAACTGCTTTAGGCACCATACTTTTACTAATATATGAAGTGACAGGGATAATAGAAAAAGCTCATGTGAAGGTCTAAAACATTTTATGGCTCCTATTTACATGTCAAGTCAATAGACATCCTTTTGTGTTGCGTAAACTATAAGCACTTCCATGAAAATACCTAATTGCATTTCAGAAAAAAAATTCTGTCCTTATTCATTCAAAATTTGGCATTCTGATTGCACCAGATTAGCAGATTGGACAAAAGAGCTTAAAGATATAGTGTAAGATTTTCGCAAATCTTAAGAAGGACCCGCCCTCTCCACTTATACACATGCACAACCCTGTACCCGCTCCCGAGAGGGAACGCCTATTAAACCCATGCAAAAGCACGCATAAGCCCATTTCTCCTTGTGCACGCTCTGTTTAAAAACTGCTGTTTGCATCACTCATACAAGCCTACTTTCCAAAGAAGATTTGCTATTTTTCTCTATGTCAGACTCACCACCGGTAAATGAAAATGGGGACGAGCACGTAGGACGGCCTTACAGAAACATATCACCAGAATGATTGACAATAAGGAGGACCACTCATCTATCTATATAAATACCCATGTAAACACCCTGTTCAATAACCCTGTATAATGATCAAAAAAAAGAAAAAAGGAAAAAGCTGTTATATGTGGACGCACTGGAGATATTGTTTATATCCCACACACCTTTTTCTTCCTTTGGTACCATCTTCTTCTTTGACTATTTAAGCTGATGTAGCAACTAAATTTCTCCACCTTGAGATAAATAAAGTCAATAAATCAATCGCCCACTTATTTGGATAATCCACCCAGAAAAAGGCCATCCTCCACTATAGCTTTAGGGTTAATTTAATGGCTGCAGGCTTCTTTGGTCATGTAGCTGCATACGAAGCACAGTTTTTCACACCTAATGTGCCATCAGACGAATAATAAGTTGTGTTGACATGTTATATCTTGTTATTGCCAACTAAGGTGCTACATGTTATGGCAAAACCTGTTCTAATCAATCATTTACAATTCACAAATCTGCTATTCTATTTTGCTTTTAGAGCAAATGGGATTTCCTCAGAACTACTGTTCCAAAGATCACACTACGGTCTTTTTAAGATAAGATAAGAACTTCCTTAATTGTCCCACAGCGGGGAAATGCGTTTGTGACGGTGGCAAAAAAAAGTAGACAGAAGTAATAAAATCTTTACAGAGGACTAATTAATATGAAAAGAACAAACATTTGAAGGTTCATCTGCACAGAAGAAGAGCTTAATCATCATGCTATAATAAACTTTAACCCTCTGCTATAATTGAGCCCTTTGCAGTTTGAGTTGTAGGTTTATTTACAGCTTCAAGTATTGCTCAGTCTTATCTTTTGTTGTGAATTTCCACAGAACAGAAAGATTTTAATTTAGGAGTAAATAATCCCAGTATTGCTCTAAAATAATAGAGGAAAAAATAAGAGTTCAAATTGCTTAAAAATCTGGCACTACTCACTGAAAAACATTACCGGGTGAATTATATTAGCACCACCTAGCTGCTATATCTAGTGAATGCTGTTTGTGTCACTGTAGTTTGGTTCTTTTTTTAATTATCCAATTTTTTCCCTTATCCCTGTTTCACGAAATAATGTTATTTAAAACTTTTCCTGAGCTGTTTCTATATTAATGCTTTCATAGGCTTAGGCTGCTGGAGGACATTCTTCTATTCTCTTCTGCAGTATTTGTTGTTTCCGCACAGCGCGGCTGGCCAATAGAGGGCGCTAGGGCATCGCCCCCACCCACCCAATGACCTTGAATAAGACATAAAAAAACAAGAAACAATAAAAAAAAAGAAATATTTCGAAATATATTAATATAATATTTTAGATGTGTAAGAGAAGTATTT